TTTTGAGGTTTGGATTAGGATTCTTGGGGGTTTTTAAAGAAATCTAAGCAAATCTGAAAAAATTTGAAAATTTTGGGTTTTTTTTGGAAAAATCTGGGTTTGAGATAAATTTTTCAATGAAAGATGAAATTTTCAGTTGAATTTTTTACCGAGGTTTAAATTTTTCTATGGGATTTCAAAGACTTTTTCAAAAACTAGTGGTTTTTCACTTTCTGATTGAATATTCTGGTGACTCTTTTAGAAATCGATGAGTTTTTTCAATTTTTGGTTAAATCTTTGACGGTGTTTTTGGTTGGGTTTTAGAGAGAAGGGAAAGCAGAGGAATTCTGAGACTAAAACATTAAACTTGGCTTTTATAAGGACCCAAAACGACGTTGTTTTTGCATATCCAAATTCGCGCTCTGACTCATTAACCCGTGATCAACCCGTGTGCTGACCAGACTCAAATCATAGGTTATCTTTTTTTGTTTTATCTTTTTTTTTTAATTTTTTGATTTTATTCATTTTATATTTTTAATTTATTTTATTTTCAATTTTTTATTTTTACTAATTATTTATTTTTATTGAATATTTTCCAAAATTCTATTTTTATTAAAAAAATCTTCTCAAATAAGTTAAAAAAATAAAAATAAAAATAAAAATAAATCTTTTTCAAGTAAATTTATGAAATTCACCAAACAATTGAAACTTTTCATAAATCAATTTTCAAAAAAATAATAAAATAATAAAATTTTTTCCTTCCAAACAATTGAAGGATTACTTTCTAAATTAAATTATATCAAACTATTGAGAGATTTAATGAATTTGCCTCAAAATAATAAAATTTTTATAAACATTTTTGAATAAAAATCTCACCAAATTATTGAGAGATCTACTCCAAAATAAGTCACACCAAATTATTATGAGACTTTATTAATTTTTTTGAATAAAATATTATAATAAATTCGATGATAAAGCCTCTTTAGAATGGGACATTAATCTCTATGAATACTTTTGAGGCAAAAAAATTGTTTCAAATTGCTACCAAACTATTATGGGTAATTTTAGGATTAATTTGCAATATTAAATATTTTGGAACATGTTCAAGGCTTCAATAATTTGATATCAAACCGGTACTATCTTTTGAATAGGCGCTGTCAGGGTGCTATAATTTTTCTCACACGTAATCGTACTTTCAAACCTAAAATTTGGTTTCGCATATCATAATCTGTTTCAGATAAGCAATTACACCTAAACAAAAAAATATTGGTAATGACTCTTCTAACTCATATCTAATAATATATTCACAGATCTATACATTATGACAATTCAAATAAATCCTAAACATTAAATCTTTTAAATGTTTCGTAGTACATTAATTAATTATGAAAAAAAAACAAATTGATTTTATATATAAAAAAAATAGACAATGGTTGAAGGCTAGTGCATATAAGTTCCACTGAGGAAGAGATTGCATAAAGAAATTAGTGAATAGATGAGTTTTCAAGAATCAAACAAATATGACAACTAGGATTTAATATCTTGCTAAAAAATTGGTTGGATGACCAATTCTCCTAAATAAATTTTTAAAAAATTAATCACGTATTTGATATTTAAACTATAATTAAATATTTTATTTGATATCTAAAGTTTAAAATGTGCAATTAAACACTCAAATTTTGCTTCCATAAGCCTAAATGCCCAATGCACATTTTCCTAACTCTATTGAAAGGAAGTCTAATGTGTCTCCTAATAGCCTATCAAAGCACCATTTGTCGGGTTCTTATTGGCTGTTGGGGACACATTATAATTATCCTAACAGAGTTTAGCAAATATGTAATATAGTTAAGTATATACTTTTTTAATTTTTATATCAAATTAAATATTTAATTATAGTTTAAGCATTAAATGCACATTGATTCAATTTTATATTAATAAGAAATAATAGAGTTATTTACATGCAATGATCGCTAATCTTTCATCATATGAACTTTAAAATGTCTTGACCAGATCATTAAAGTTTGTAGATTGTATCAAATTTAATCACTTTAATATATTTCATCCAATAAAATGAAAAAAAAAAAAAAGTGGTTATCCTTTAAGCTGTCATGTAAATAGATCAATCAAATTCGTAGACTTTAGCCTTTTAAGCATTTTTTATCTAAAAATCAAAATTACATAATTGTAAGTGCATAAGAAAAACGATAAAAAAAAAGATAGGGGAAATAAAAAAAAAAACGATCTGGATTTCGATTGATGTGTGGCAATCACATCATTTATTTTTTCACTTTATTAAATAAAATTTATTAAAACGATCAAATTAATCAAGTGTAATTGGCAAACTTTATTCACCTATTAAGGATAAATTAAAAAAGCCCTAGGTATAATTGTTTTGAAATAGACTAACTTTTTAAGTTCTAGTAATAACTAGATAATTATTTAGGGCACAGCATGGATATGTGGACTGCTTCTTCAAGTGAGGTTGAATATTGAAGTTGAATGGATTTTATACAAACCTCAAGGCTCAATCGCTATATATATTAACTTGAATTGGGGATTGTATGACCCTAAGTGCTTATTCCTTTATTCATTCTGTATATCAACAAGAAGGAAAATGTTGAAACAAAAGAAAGCAATAGTGCCAAATTAATTCCTTTTAAAAGAATATAAAGTTATTTTGAGATTTAATTACTCTAAAATTTTTTAGAACATATCTTCATATATTGAGCATTTGTTGAAGTCCAAAACGTATATGTGAGTTGTCCATCTCCTATCCTTCAAAAGATTAAGATTCTATTCCCACAATAACCAATCGCTCTTGTCTTGAATTATGGTCAAGTGGATGACAAGTAGGACCTAAATCATTTGCATTGAAACCAAAAAGTGCTCAAAACAGATAATATCAAGAGTCTAATATTCCATGCTTTGTGGATGCTAAGTAAACGTGATGGTGTTCCTTCAATTTCCACAAGGGTCAACTCCATTCCCATTTCTTCCTATAAATACTAAGCAAATTAGAGTACTGCAACACAACACAACACATGCAATACATAAACTTTCAGAAATGGCTGATCGTAGATTATAATTAATAAGTTTGTTTGTTTGTTTGTGTTTTTCTGCTGTGGAAGTGTCTTGCATGAAGAGATAGAGAGTGGGTCTGAGCCAAGGATGACTTGCCGCAAATCACTCTCCTCAGTTAAGCTGCTTTCTCTAGATTTTTATTATATATAGGGCTTAACCGTGTGTTGATCCGGTGGGTTGTCCGGGCTCAGTTTCGCTCTCTCTTCTTTCATGTCAGATACACTACGAATTCAAGGTCGAATGTTATTTTTATTAGTGCATTTTTTTTTTCTCGTTTTCCTTTTTGACCATGTACTTCATATGCAGGCGCAACTCCACAACACACTTTGGCAAGAAAAAAAGTTGGTAAATTGAAATGGTTGAAGTTTGAATATGTAGTCACCTAAGTTGGTATGATTTAAATATTTTACTTATAAAATTTAAATGTTAATCTTATTATCAGTAATTGCATTAATAAGTGATATGTAAATTTAATATAAACTATTTCTTAAGTTTGTGGTACCTTGATTTAGACAGGAAAAATTTCTTCTCATCTTAAACTTTTGAAGACCAAAAAAATTTTAATAAATTTAATCCATATATTTTTTAAAATTGAGTTAAGAACAATTATTAACAATACAAATTAAGATTTTATCTTTAATTAGTTAAAGGTGATATGGCATTTAGTGCATACATAATATATTGATATGAATTAATTTTTTGGGTACATAACATACACACACACATATATATATATATATATATATCAGTCAAACAATATTATATTTTATTTTGATTAAAAATAATTAACTTTTTTAAACTCTAAAAGTATAGCATTTAGATTTTTTTTCTTAAAAGTAGTTTTTTATATCTAATATGCATGTCATGATAACAAAAATTTCAAATTAGCATGTCATGTCATTAATAATAATTAAAAAAAAACCAAACAATTGAATTTAATTGCAAAATTTAAACATTGTTATGTCTTTAAATCAATCTTTATATATATATATATATATATGTAAATTGAGCAAAAAAATTGAACCACTTTGTCTTAACCTTTCATTTTATTATTCATTATTTGTATAGTACTAAACATCTCGAGAGAAATTTTTTATTTTTTTATTTTAATGCACAAAGATAGAGTCAATTATGGAGCGGAACCAATTGATCCCTTATGTTTGGTAGGAAAGAAGAAAAATAAAAAAAGAACAAAAATAAAACAATGGGAGGAAATAAAATTATTTTTCTTTGACATAATAGAAGAAAAAAAAATATGAAGAGTAAAGTTATAAATAAAATTATTAATTTAAGTTGAATAAAATAAAAGATTTTTTTGGTGCGGTTGATCAATCGCTCTTAGACTCTTACATGCTTCATCGACCAAGTAAAGCGGTAATGAGATATTTCAAAATCTAGGTCTTACATTAAATAGGATAACGTGATAGAAAATAATACCCAGAAAGGGTTTAACTGAAAAAGGCATTGAATCTAGGTTGAGTTGGTGGGAAAACCACGCGCTTAAAGTGCGGCTAGACATTGACATTTGATCTAAAGCAGCACTAAATTAAATTAAACCGCCGGTTTTGTTTTGTTTTTGGACCAATTAGCTGAAGAAAATTCCAACCCGCCTGCGGCTTCTTCGACCCTGCTCTCCCTCTCCCTCTCTCTCTTTGATAAACAACAATAAAAAAATAAAAATAAAAACCACAATGAAATACATAAACGAATCCTCTGAAGAATCAAAAACCCATTTTACAGATATTAATCTCTTCTCTCTCTTTTTTTTTTTTTTGTTGTATAAATACAGCAAATTCAAGTCTGTTTCTCTGTTTCATGTTTCATGTTTCATGCTCTGCCTATCCTAGATCTTAATGTCTTCTTCATTTTTGGACTTTGGAATCAGGAGATTTTAGGGTCTCTTTCATTTTCTTCAACAACCTCCATTCCTCAGGTAACTTGCTTCTCGTTTTATTTTAGTTGGGTTTGAATGAGTCTTAGTTTTCTGGTAGGTTGGACTAGCGAGGTCATCGATTTGGGTTGACTTTTTTTATCACACGTTTCTACTTATTTTTTATAGAAAGTGTTGAAAGAAGCTGGCTGCGTTTGGTTTTAGTAGTTAGGCAAATCCATAACTTTGCATTTCTTTCTTCAATTCATGCTATCTGTGTTGAATAAGTTGAAAAACTGTTGCTCTTGAGCCTTTTTATTACCCACCAATAAGAAAGGGTAAACTTTGTATTCTGTTTTTATTTATTTTGAAATGTATAGAACATATGCTTGAGTTTGCGGGCTTTTTTTAATTATAATTCCATTTCCGAACTTTTAAGGTTAAAAATTTGATTGGGTTTGTTGTACTTAGTATTTAAGCTGACACTTTTGACCAAGTTTTGATTTTTTTTGGTCTCATGGATACTTTCGTCACAAACTAAGTATGGTAACGCTTCCTATATGGTTTCCTTTCTCAGATCATATTACATTGATCAATTGAAGAATCTGTGGTTGGTTGTGGCTACTAACTCATATTTTTGAGAGAAAACTGGAATCAGAAGGGAATCAAAAGAATAGAAAGCTTTGGTGTTTGTACTAGATGAAGGGAGCTCAGGCGTGGCGACTAGGCAGCATGGGTGACATGCAGATCTTGCCTGGGTCTCGCCACCGCCCTCCTTTAAAGAGGCCGATTTGGATTATTTTCTTGGTTTCATTAGTTAGCATTTTTCTCGTTTGTGCTTTTATCTATCCACAGCCTGGCAATGGAGCCTGTTACATATTTTCTTCTAGAGGTTGCCAGGCCCTTACTAATTGGTTACCTCCCGCTCCTCCAAGGGAATTAACTGATGAGGAGATTGCATCAAGGGTTGTGTCTAGAGATATTTTGAATACTCCTCCTGTCCAATCTAAAAGTTCTAAAATTGCATTTATGTTCTTAACTCCAAGTTCACTGCCTTTTGAGAAGCTTTGGGATATGTTCTTCCGTGTAAGTTATTTCTTTTTCAGCTGCTAGTTAGTTTTTCCTCTCTAAAGTCTTCATACGGTTCATGGATATTTTATTAGTTTTTCCTCTCTAATGTCTTCATATGGTTCATGGATATTTTGTTATCCCATTTAACGTCATGATTATTATCCTTGAACTTGGCTTTCATGAACTGATATGTTGTGAAGAAATTCATTCTGGGCTTGGTCCTGTATAACAAGGTTGGGTGGATCATATATGAAATCTACCATGTGAAAGGTGTTTGCCAAGAAAGAATCACTTTTTTGTGTGCAGGCCCCAAGTACTGTGCCCGTTTTGCATTATATTATTTTCCTGAAGTAATTTGTACTTGTTTATTTATTATTGCATCTTTGTTGTTATAGATACAAAAGCAGCTATTTTTTTGGCTGAGAAATACTTATATAAGTGATGAGGACTTATGGAAGAAATGTTGTACATAAGCATAACATGTGCATTTATGGTTGGTGGGAAAACCTGCTAGAGATTTTGGGCCTTGATCTAGTGTTAATAGGGGGTGAAGCAAGGACGCTGGGTAATAAAGGTGCTATTTTAAATCTGCACCATTAGGTAATCGAGGGAGAAGATGGTTTTGCGTTTTGCAATAGTTTACCTACTTTAACTGGAGCTCTTAGATAGTTTGGATCCTATCTTCAGGATTTTTAGTTTTTTTATTATTATGTTTTTCAAACCTTTTGCTAGAGATTTCTTGGTTTAGCCTGTCAGTAATGATATTCACATCTGTAGGTTTTTAACACCTTGATGCTGTAGATAGTGGGGCAGATATGAACAATCATATGACTAGACCCTATGGAAAATGGATAAGGGGCATTTTTGTAATAATTGTTAAGATTTTGATATATGAGGACAAACTTTTTGCCATAGATGTTGTTTCTGCTGCATAAAATGCAGTTTGCTGTGTGATTTGTAAATTTATGATCATTATCTGAAGAAAGTGCCAATATTTGTGATTTATTAGCTCAAGATGGGAATTAAGAACCATTTCAAGCCATACATTAGATTTAGAAGTAGAAAAATGAAAAGTTGAGTTGGACAAGGGACTGAAGCTGTTTCATACTGGTTGAAAGGGAAGGTGTGAATACTGGTTTAATTCCTATAATAGGCATTTTAGTCTGTTTGAACTAATTAGAAACTTATAGTACCTACAATTTTTGGTGTAGGCAACATGGAGTGTTCTACAGTATTACTTAAAAGCTGCTGGCTATATGAAGCCCATTTGTGAATCAAATAGTACACTTCTCTCTTCTGATTGATTCAAATAAAGTAATTCAGGTTGGTCATTTTACTAGTTTTTGTCTCAGGGAATTGTCTAATATAAATGAGAGTCATATGTATTTCGTTCTAGTTAACAGCATTTCCTTTGTTGATTGTGGATGCAAATGTGGGTTAATGTGTATGGTGAAGGTACTATTGATATCAATGGGGCATATTGTGAATTGATACAAATGCTAGGGTGGATATGGAAGTGGGCAGATTCCGCTTCTTTTTATGCATCGGGATGTCTGTATCAATAACGTTTTAGTTATGTTTGATTGTCTGCTCAGTTCATTCTGTTTCTGTTGAATTCTTGCAGAAAGGAACTAGTCATTATCTTTATTTTTTTCTGCATTTGTGGCTTTTAGTTACTTTTAAGTGTTATTTACCATGTAACTTTAGCAAAAGTTGGCTCATTTTTTCCTGGCAGGGGCATGAGGGAAAATTTTCTGTTTATGTCCATGCTTCAAAAGGAAAACCAGTGCATGTGAGTCGTTACTTTCTTAATCGGGAAATTCGCAGTGATGAGGTACGTATCTTAGATTAAATTGGTTGATAGGTTGCTATTTCTCTCTTCTTCTTTTTTTTCTTTTACTTTTTCCTTTGATATGATATTTTGTTATATTGAAATTATCTTTCCATGCTTCTGCATTTTGGAAGCACAAGCAAAGTATAGTGACTTTACAATAGTCATTAGAAAAATATCCAGTGATTCATCCACTGTGTACTTAAAATGGCTCCAGCACAAATCCTGATAGTCAACTACTTAATTTCAGTATATCAGAGGGAAAAGGGGTAGACTGCCCTGTATCCTTGTCTGCAATATCAAGAGTCTGTCTCTGTTCATGTTTCTGCTTTATGAGGTCGGTCATAATTTATGGTCCAACTTTCTTTTTCAGTTTGGAAAATCTCTAGGAATGCAAACCCAAAGACGTGATACTAGCACTTACATTGTCATTCGAGTATCTTGTTAGAGATTGTTAGTAATTATATGCTTCTGTATTATTTTACATGCAACTCCTAGACATTTTTGTGTTATTAGGTGTGCACATGTTTGCTATTTTTAATATCAAATTTCTGCTCGAACTTCATGATCTGATAAAAGGTTTTTACAACTTGGTTAATTTATCTATTTATTTAATGATATGATTGTAGCTCTATTTTTTTCTTATTGTCTGTTATGTTTTAGTTGAACTCATTGTGACATTTTAATATGTTGCTATTTACTTGTGGTATCCACAAATTTGACAAGCTAGTAATATTTGGCTTTACTGAATTTGCAGGTTGTATGGGGAAAAATTTCTATGGTTGATGCAGAGAGACGACTATTGGCATTTGCTCTAAAAGATCCTGATAACCAACATTTTGTGTTGCTTTCTGAGAGGTAACTATGGTTTCTCACTCACCCCCTCCTGCCCCAAAGGATTTTTTCTTTTTGCTTACACTGACTGTGATGTTGCAGTTGTGTTCCGTTGCATAATTTTGACTATGTCTACAACTATCTGATGAATGCTAATATGAGTTTTGTTGACTGGTAAGTGAAATCTTAGAGTATTACACATGTACACGCACATTTGATGGACTTCTTGCACCATTTTCCCTCGGTTGACATGTATCCTCCCTGTTTGCCAGCTTTGTGGATCCTGGACCGCATGGAAATGGCAGGTATTCAGAACACATGTTACCTGAAGTAGAAAAGAAAGACTTCAGAAAGGGTGCGCAGGTATTTCTGAATTCGTATGATATAGAGACCATTATTATTTAGATAAATATGCATTACAATAGATCAATCTGAGTGGTAAATCTGTAGCTGGGACGTGTGAATGAACTTAACCATGATCAACTCTTCTTGTGATAATATGAAGGCCATGCGCCTCTGCTAGTGCACTGTATTTTGTCAAATTTGATCACCATAGTTGATGCATTTGTCTATCATTTTATTTTGAACTTTTACTGTTTTCTTTACCCCAATTTGTTCAAGTCCTCTCCAGCTACAAAGTATCTTGTTGTGGAATATTTCAGCAATCAGCACATCTTTAAGCAAACTTATTTTGTGTCTTGTTGTGTCAAGTTTAAATGAGTGAATTTTTTGCAGTGGTTCTCAATGAGGCGGCAGCATGCTCTGATAGTTATGGCTGACAGTCTTTACTACTCAAGGTTCCAGGATTACTGCAAGGTGAATTTGATCTTAAAATGTAGTTTGAATAACTGTAATCTAATTTGTTTTGAATTTACAAGAACCTTCTTTGATTCATGGATGAGAGAGTTGGTTCACTTTTATTTGTTTCTATTTTAATGATTTTTTAATATATTCAGCACTTCAAAAAATAATATTAAACAAATGAAGAAAATTAATTTGAGTTTGCCCAAGTGAACTTTTTTTGGATATGATGCCAAAAGAAGCTCTACCAACTCTGTTCTGTCAAAAGCATTATATATTTCTTAACATATAGCAGCAAAAGGGGTAAACTTCTTACCCCTCTGACTTCATTGCTCCTTTCCAATTCAATGTTTTTTTTTTTTTTCAATCAAGATAAAAGCTGAATGGTGTTTCAATGTTTTTTAATTAGAGAGATGAATATCATTCAAGAACATATGTAAGGCTTTGAGGGATATAATTGATGTTTCTTATTCTCACTATTATCTGTTCTGCTACTCTGGTCTCAATTTGCTTTCTCTTAGTCTTCTACTATCTTCACTGTTGGTATTAGCACGAAGACAGAACATTTCTAGATGTTAATGACTTGCCTGTGAGCTACATAAAATAAGCACTTATTTTGGAAAGTAGAGTTATTTTTAAGGAATTCTCTGGATTTATCGTGGAGATGATATGTATTATGATATAAGCATCCAGTAATTATAATGTGTGGATGTTTTAATTAAGATAGAATTCATGTGCAAGTTTTATGCTGCTGACTTGTAGTCTTTACATGTTCTTGATTATTACAGCCAGGTTTGGATGGCAAAAATTGCATTGCTGATGAACATTACTTGCCGACCTTTTTCCATGTGAGGATCATACTCTGGATCATGTTTCCTACTTTTCACTTTAGCTTCTCCTAATGTGGTTTCATTTGTGTGCCCTCAGATGATTGATCCAGGTGGTATTGCAAACTGGTCAGTAACTCATGTTGACTGGTCTGAGAGAAAGTGGCACCCTAAATCATATAAGGCTCAGGATGTTACAGATGAGCTTCTGAAGAATATTACGGTACATGTGCTTGTCTCTTTATTTTTAAGCAATCGCATCGCAATAACCACTTGTCACTTAACAACTTACCACCTTGCCTTTTTAACTGATAGACTGAGAATGTTTGGTTCCTTTGTATGATGATGAAATCTTGCATGATTTGTCATCTGGGAATGCTGTAGTAGATTGGGATTACCAATAATGATGACTTTTGCATTATATTTTTTGCAGTCAATTGACTTGACTGTCCATGTAACAAGTGATGAAAAGGTATACATTTCAAACACATTTTCTCATGCTTTCACGACTTGGTAAAATTACCAGATTCTGAATCCAGTTTTCTTTTTTCTATCTTTTCGTAGAGTGAAGAGCAGGTAGAACCTTGCCTATGGAATGGTGTTAGACGACCGTGTTACCTATTTGCAAGGAAATTCTATCCAGAAACCCTAGATAAATTGATGATGCTCCTCAATTTTTGACTGAGAATTCTTTGGTTGGATTGATAGTATTTTCTTGATCCCTTCACCCCATCTTGGTTTCACATATAGATTATACATTTGTTACATTTGTAAATGGCCATGTTTCCCAACCACAATTCTTGAGTGCAAGGGCAACTGGAAGAGCAGTTAGGATGACTTGAATGAGGCTGAAGGCTAACGACTTGTTACTGTTGCGTCCTTCCAGATGGGTAATTTCTTGTCCATTCCCTCCATTTCTGCCATTGATACATTATCATATATGTTATAAGAATATTGAGGGATTCATTTTTTTTTTTTTTTAAATCCGTGTAAGATTACGCTGAGAGTCCGCTGTACATTGTTATTTTGCCCCAGGTGCTGAAGGCATGCGCTTTCCCTAACCCCAAACATGAATTATTATTTATTTATTTATTAAACATTTGATTTGGAATGCACGCAAATTGCTCAGCTTCACCATCATATCCGCTAATGGATGCTGAAAATTGATAAAAATAATTTTCTTTGATTCATTATAAAGAATGTGTGCATTTCTAGGTCAAGTTTTAGTTGAATATGGTATGATTTTTAAGTAAACACTACGAAAGCAATGCTTGATTTTAAAATTGAAAAAGGAGAAATAAAAAACGAGAAGCAAAATTATCGGTTCTTATACTCAAAAGAAAGATTTTCCTTAATAATGCTGTTCACATGACAAGGTCTACAAAATCATTCATTTATACCCTGTAGGACGTTAAAAGATGTAACCAAGAAGGTGCATTTTCTTTGCTTACTACGACAAGTTCAATGCCCACCTCCACAAGGATTGCCTCCATCATGAAGCCTCGATACTAAACTCATTCACCATAATGTTTTCTCCATTTTCTCTCTAATACATAGTAGCATATTATGCGAATTATAGTGAAAATTTGATATTCAGGCACATCTCGACACCAATATTCGATCGTTTCTCGTCAAATTTTCAATAGGCCAGCCACCACCTGGCAGCAACCTCATATGGGTTGAATGCAAGCCTTGAACCACCATAAAACAGCTGTTTCCATTCTTCGAAGTCCTCCTCGTATGCGACTACGTCATTCAATGATGCTTACCGTAATTATTTTGCCACAAAAAATTTGGAATGCTTCAAATAAATAAGTGCACATTTTCCAATTTCCGTTACCTATGAAAACCAGTTTAGGACTGAACAATTTACCTTCGGGACGTTTGACGAGGGCAATCTTATGGAGCTGGTGCCTAATATGAGTTTCGGCTGCAACACCAACTGCAAAGCTGATAGCCTATAAGTCAATTGAGTGGGACTTTTGGACTTGGAAATTCAACGACATCTTTAGTCACCAAACTGGGAAACAAGTTTTCCTATTGCATTGGAAATATTAACGATCCCTAGTATAGTTACAATAGGTTAGTTTTTGGTGATGGGGCAAACATTGAAGATTTTTCAACACACTCTGAAACCATTTTCATCAGAGAAAATGTTAAATTCCTAATTAGATTTTTTATATAGAATTTTAAATTCAATTTCTAAGGAAACAATATCTAATAATACATGATAGATTGCAGGCATTATTGCTGGTAGGAGTTATATTGTACCTAGCATGCAGGGAATGAAGTTCTGGGATCCAAAATTTCACTAAATTAGTGCTTAGATCATTCTTTTCCAACATGAATTATATATATACTTGACATGCTAGCTAATACACACCGTAGGGACTTCTACATAGACATGAATTTATATAGTCAAAACAATAAATTACAATCCCTTCTTTCACTCACTAGTTGCCAACTATGGAATGACTTTGTTTAAGTAAATATAACTTGAAGTTTATAATATTAAATGATATGTAAGCATTTAGTTGTTCACAAGTAGGTTCAATTCCAGCTGTAATGTGCATTTTAATAATCTAAAAGCCCCAAAGAGGGGGTTTAGTTATAATATAAGCTGCTAAGTTTGTGTTGATCTTAGTTAGCTTATGAGAGAGGAACAACAATTGGAGCAGGTGGAACCCATTGTTGAGTTGGTGAACAGTCCCAACCACCATCTTTGCTGTAACTCACACTGAAATGTTGGGGAACCCAAGTTGCTCCTTTTGACTCTCTTTCTCTCAAGAGCTCCCGCTGTTTTTCCTCCACTGCATTCTTCGCTTGTTTTGCTTTCTCCCAATCTTGGCTCATTATGGCCATGCTTAGCTCCCTCCATACTGCAGCCGATTCAGTTGACTGCACTCCCTAAAGGGACAAAAAGAAAAGATCAAGATCCAGCCGACTCAGATAAATTCACACAGATATGGACATAATTGTGTATGCATGTCAAGTGATGCAAATACGTTGCCATATGGAAAAGCCACAGAAAAAAAAAAATGCTAACAGTTCTCTTACAAATGCAATATATACTTTCCTTCCCTTTGACCGGAAACTCAATCAATTAACCATGTATATTCATAAGCAAATGCATATCTGTTTCTTGTGAAAGAAATAAAGAGGTTTTCCCGTTTATATTAATTCTGCGAAATATTCATCGCAGAACAGAAGCATCAATAGTAAACATCACCTAGTTATATAGGTTGGACTCAGCAGACCAGAAGTTTTCGTTTGGCTTATTAGATTAACTTTTTGGAGATACGATCCATCGCATAAAAGGATCGATCCCTGTAGCTGTTGTATAGATTAGTGCCATAAATACTCAAACTTTAGAGTAAGTAGTGAAAAATGGATCAAACACTACAATGACTAAAGAATTTACCTGCGGATCATTAACAATAGGAGCTTTCAGTCCCGAAAGGACTTCTTCTGCGTTGTATATAACGGTCTGCTTTCCACTATCATTATGCTTCATTGTAACAGTTCTGCACGAAAGCAGAAATAGTTACATATCACTACACAATCTACAACTTCATATAAAAACACGGGTTTTAAGAAATTTTTAGCACAAAATTTCATTTCAAAAAAGATAAAATCAAGTTAAATACCTATCCCAATGGCCATTAAGTTCAAAAAGAGTTTTTCTTGTTGACGTTTCACATATCTTTCCTTTAACTGATCTATGACTTCCCCTAAGCCCAAGAAAAGACGACTTGGGTCCATAGCGTAACTCAGCTTCAAGGCCATTCTCTGGGCACCTGATTCTAACATTTCCAGTCCAAAAAACTGCAGGCATTGGAAGAAGTCTTATCAACAGGTTTGGAGAGTTCATTTCATATGTTTCTCCTCGACAAAGCAGCTTCAGTTGCCTTTTTCCTTGCACCTCAGTTTCCACCCACGCACCTAAAATATTAAGAGTGGGTAACAAATCGAAGCAATCATGACTCTTAAACTGCCTAATTAAGCTATGACTTCTGTTTTATAATGAAGGTCTAATTAATTACAGACAACAATTAATTAAAAGCAAGAAAAAAAGTATCAGAAACTTAAATTCGTCTGATATTTTGCCAGTGCAAACAGTGTTGGACATAGATTCTGCTGACAAGTGGGAAAAAAAATGCTTAGGAGCAACCAGACCCGACTTGACTTTCTGAATATCATGTAACTTCACATATAAGCTGTAATTTGCGTAAATCTGCTTGAAAAAGTATATAATTGACAGAATGAGAAAATGACATACGAACCATGGAAATTTGGAACACAATGTTGACACCAGATGAGTTCAATATTTTGTTTTTCATCAGTTGCATGGAGGGCAGAAACTGGTGGGTGGTGAGAAATCTGCAAGATAATTGGTGTAAAAAAAAAAAGGCATTTTATTTGAATGAAGCAATAAATAAATGGAAATACCTGTTCGAGTAGGACATTGAGAGTTGCCCTTGAGACATGATGAGTCTCACCAAGGATTGGGTTGTAAGGGGCACACCCAAATAGTGCAGGTCGCAACGTGGAAATGCTCCAAGCTACAACCGATGTGAATCTCTCGATTGAGTTGTCAGCCTGGTTACATCGGCTTAGCATGTCACTGCCGATGCAATACACTGTTTCTCCATAACATTGAAGATGTGACTTCGGATAGTTGAACAGAGGTGGCAGCTGAACAAACATTAACCCCAATTAATTTCAAAGTGCATAGCTGATTCCTTCCAGGAGCTCCACAATATGCATTAATTATTTCAAATTTAATCTCAAATGAACAGAACTTATTATTATTTTGTAAACGTATATGTTTTTCTTTTGTTCCAACTTTTCTTCTTATATTCTTATATTTTTATTTTCTCTCTTTAATCTAAGTAATTTAGTATACATATAAATAGTATTATATATATTTATAGGATCCAACAAAAATCAAATTTGTCACTCTAATATGATTTCATATAGAATTTTGCCATTATACTTTAATAACATTGAATTATGTCATTATAATCTATTTTGAGTTATTTTTGAAAAAAAAAAGTTAAAAATAAAAATAATATTTTATTATTTAAATAATAAAATAATAGATAAATGAATGGATAAACAAGGTTGGTTTGATTTTTTAAAAAATAGAAGGTCAAGTCCATGGCCAACTCTAGTTGGAAAAACAAAAACAAAAAGATTAATTTTTAATTTATTTTAGAGTTTGCAAGATTTATTTAAATGTTGTAAGAAGAATATTTTATTGTTAATTTTATCCAAAATTCAAACAAAATAAAAGTTGGGTAACAAAATTCAACGCAAATGAAGTGCAATAGTTAGTAGTAAAATTAGGAATAATAGTTAGTAATATAAAGGCAAATTTGATAATTCCCAAAATTATAGGCACCAAAATGAGGTGAATAAAAGAGAACTTATTATTTCATATAATATCAACTAAGTTTTTAAATTTTATAAGCTGATTAAAATATCGTAATTTTTTTCTATATTTCAAATAGAAATTCCCATTCAATAATTCTACCCTTCATATTAAATTAGAAAACAAAATTAATGTAAAAAAAAAAAAAAGACTCAACTTATTATTTATATATATATATAAATTGTTTAATTATTCAAGCATTGCATTTGGAAGTTTGGTTCAATAAGTAATCCTGTATTTTTCTTCTTGCTCCTATTTTTTAATTTAAAAAAAAAAAAAAAAAAAAAAAAAAAAAAACATTGTGGGATCTTGGGGCATATTAATTTGGGGTGAAAAATAAGAAATTGGAAGAAAAAAGATGAGGTAATTAACTTGCCTTAAGACGGGTGAGATCAGAGCCTGGGAGTACACTTTTGAAAAGACTTGTAATTCTTTGGGATAGATTAGGAGCCCTATAATCAATATCTGAGTCACCGTCAACGGATAATGGCCTTGTAAGAACAACTTTTGTTTCATACCTGCTTCCTGTTACCTGCCCACATATCACCATCAACAATTATCAGTAATTTCCTTTGCTAATAAATGCTATTTTTTTCATCATAACCCAAGATAGAAGGAACACGACTTGCCATTTTGATTTTCAGTGAGTAAAACAATAGAGAAATTCATATAAAGATATTGTTTCTGTTTGTATACGTTGTTGTTGTTAGTTTTTATGATTTAAAATTTTTAAAATAATATATATTTTTGCAAAATATTCGCAAATCATTAAAAAATTAATGCCGAAATATATATATATATATATATATATATATATGCAAAAGCGCATGCAAAAAGAAACAAAAAAGGAGGAATAATAGAGAAAAGCTTTGAGACTATAAATTAAATGAGAAGTTGTCATATGTAAACAAATGGCTGGAAGACAATTAAAATACCATAAATAGCCAAAACCAAAGCAAACATCTCATTTAAACCCCAAAAATAATAAAAAAAATGAAGATGCCAATGGCCAACTTGGCCATTTTTCCCTATACAATTATTTTACGCTTTTCCAAATTCGCATAGAAAACAATGGATTAATAAAGAAGACAATCGCCAGAAAACAGCCTTCGGTTTCCGAGCTGCTTTCCGGCCACCAGAAAACAGCCGGTGGGGTAATTTTGAGCCATGGCAATGAGGCACATATCATGAATGATGAGATAATAGAAAAAAGAACGCAATTGTTTCTTCTTTGAAATGTAATTATAAAAAAATATTTACAGCTTTATAAATACATGTGTATGTATGTACGTGTATGTGTGTACGTACATGATATAAGCATAACCAGAGGGAGGCAAAATGAAATTGTTGGTACCATTTGAAGAGAGGAGAGAAGCAATCCAAAGAGGAGAGTTGTGATCTGCAGAGATGTTTCTGCTTGAAGATGGAAAAGGCAGCTGCAGAGGCTTTGCTCAGAGGGAAATTAAGATGTTTTTATTGGATTTTATAAACGTGAGTGAGAGACTGACTAAATTGACAATTAAATTTGGTAGTGATGTTTTATAAATTATTATATAAATATGGCATAGCCATACCCATCATGTTGGACTCAGAATTAATTTCCTCCTATTAATAAGCCTGCGTGATCATTTTTCATTACTACTATTTTTAGCTAATTTCATTTTTAAAAATAAAATACACTACGAAATAAAAGTAAAAGGTAAATTAAATTATAGCATATAATCAGTCTATACAAAAGTAAAATCAAGCATTTTATCATGAAAAGAATTTACAAAAACTGTGTGTATAATCTTTCAAACTTTTTTTTTTTTATCCAAACACAAAATTTGCTTTTTGACTTTCGAAAACAAAAAATAAGTTGTAAAAATGTTAATTAGATGGAACCTTGTTTCTAATCATGAAATTTTTTAGCCATTTAGGGTTCAATTTTAAATTTAAAAATCTTTTTACTCTCTATGCCTAAAGAAAAGGGCAAACCCTTGTTGAAAATCCTCCCCAATAACACAAGGAAGAGTAAATTAAGGGTTATTATGTTCCGCTACTACTAGAGAAAGAAAACCCTTTCTTTGAGCTCTCTTCAGCCACCGCCACTGGTTTTGCATCCAATTAAATCAAATAGCTTATTGGTGAAATTTCTTTAAGAAAATGAAATTTGAAAGAAAGACTGAAAGAGAATCCATTGAAACTATTTGGTTGGCTATAATAAAAGCTTTTGTGTAGTATGGATGGATGAAGTGAACGGACTTTTGAGACCATGCTTTTTATTTATCTTATTTGATAAGCTTTTCACCAGATGCAACAATAGCTTCAACCAAAAGAACGACATGGACACTCAGACAATTAACCGACTGTCTTGTTAGACGAAATAAAAAAAAATTATATATATTATAGACGAAATACTCTCTTATATAGCTTTTCTTGCTACCAAAAGCGTAAAAGAAAATTCAGAGCGTGTGAAGAAGTTTATATTAAGAAATAGAACAGGTTAAACTCGACCCAGTTGATACTTTCAAAACTTAGTCCAAGGATCCGACCCACCCTTTCAGGTTTGATTATACCCGTTTACATTAACATACATTTTTGTCAAAGAAACCTTATCTAAGTTTTGTCAAAGAAAAAGGATATACAAGATATTAAAGGGAATTTTTCGTATTCAATGGAATAAAACTATAATTCTCACAGGACAGGGAGTACAGAATAGTATTGAGTATTTTTATCGAATTAGCAAAGAAATTAGTAAAACTTGTCGATGGAAGAACTAGGAGTCTCCCCGCGTTATATCATTCTCCTTTACAACTATTCCACATATATATTTCAGATAAATATATCTAACCTCATAGCTTATTACAACCGATTACAAAGAATAATGCAACCATAAAGCTTAATTGTGCTCACCAATCCAAACTATCGCCAGTACCCCATAGCCAACACAGGGATAGTTACCTTGTGCCCTCTGCTGCCTTTCAAGGTAATCTCTCCAAAGCTGTAAGTTCGGGTGACTGACCGAGCAGTAAGAGTTACGGAGAACCTCCTTGATGCACCAGGTTTCAGAGTCATTGCTGAAGGGCTGGTTTCAATGGCAACTGATGGTTGCATTCTGGCCTTGATGACATAGGTTTCTTCCTCAGCAACATTTGTAACAGTACGAATAACTGTCTGAGTTCCCACCAGATGGGAAATTGTAATTGACGGGGAGTTGAGATTTGAAGGGTGGCCCATGGTGTTAGTGCAGGGTGAGTTTGTGTAATTCTTTATCTCGTGTATATTGATTCCAGGTGTTGTGCACAAGAATCCCAAATAATCCTCATAACCTACAATAGGTAAGGGAGAAACAAATAAAGACTCTTCGCAAAATATCCTTATAACAGATTCATAACATCCTTTGCTAATTTACCAAATCTCATAGTAAATATCTTCTAGCTTAAATGCTCCAAAAGAAAACAAAATTTGTGGCTTAATTAATCCAGTTTCCGGCACAGATGGTCAAGTTCATTCCATCCTCTTTCCTAGTAATGATGTAATTACATTGCAAAGTTGACAGGCTCAATAGGGAATAACCAACCAAAAGATGCACAATAAAATTACAAAGCAAAAGCAAGAATACCTGCATCAAAAATGAGTCCGGGATCCAAAGCAGCTCTTGGATTAACATGACCACTCCCATAATCAAAAGGTGTGGCCGTGACAAGCTTCATGGCCTCTGTTTCAGAATACTGTTGTGCTTGAAGAGGCCTTCCTGCTCTGTCTAGCTTTGTTGATGTTGTCATCAAGGCTGATTTTATAGCAGCAGGACTCCAATGAGGGTGTTTCTGCTTCAAAAGAGCAGCTATCCCTGCTATATGTGGCGCAGCCATACTGGTTCCAGATATCATAGCAAATCCTTCTCCTGTTCAAAGCAAGGAATTGATTAAGGTTTGAAAATTTTCATTACTAGAAGCATAATATTACTTCTCTTCCTCTAGCATGTGCCAAAAGTTTCTAAAAGTGATCACTGAGAAGATAAGGAAGAGAAACAAATATAAAAACTGAGCACATCTTTACCAACATAATTAGGCTCATCTGTTCCATTCGGAGACCAAGCAGCCCAAATTAGAGAACCAGGTGCCAAAATGTCTGGCTTGAGAAGATCTGCATCTTGAAAGCTGAAATCTTTTATGTTAGGCCCTCGAGCAGAAAATAGTGCAACCTGTGGTGCAGATTTATGGAGAATTGGCATCAAACCATCTCCAATGCTACCAATAGCTTTGAAGCTCTTCACTCGTCCGGTCCAATCTCTTGGTGTAGAAACATTATAGTAGTCGATAAGATCCTATAAAAGTGATTTCCAAGAGCCACATCATAAAATTTTGCATTATCGGTTAGAAAAGCTGAATGAAATTCTATCAAGCAATGAGAGCATGTTGCAGATTCTTCCCCAGTGAGATGATGGAAAACCACCACTTTTGCTTAATAATAATAATAGGTAAGAGAAGCAAGGATAATTACCATTGACTTTGGGACATCGGTGATAAGGATTCCAGGAATACCAACAGGAACGGGATCAAACTTTGTTCCAGGAGAAACATTTTCCACTGCAAGAACAAAACCAACTGCACCAAGAGCCTTGGCTGTTTCAGAGACTTTCTTAATTGATGCAGTACCAACAACAAAGTTGAAGGAATAGCCACAAAGAAGAATGTTCCCCTTAACCAAGTTCTTGTTTAACACTTCTGCCCTTTGGCAGTCTGAGGGGCTATACTTCATTACCGAGGCATCCAGTAGCACATCGTTAGCAGCAACCAGGGTGTAGGTTTGATTTGGATGAGTGGAAGCTGCAATAATCCATAAGCTATACACTTCAGCTTTCAAGAACAGAGAGATTTATCCAAAGGAAATAAAGAACAAGAAATTGGCAAGTGAGCAACCACAATGTTAATGAGATTAACAGCACATCTCATTAACAAGTCCAATTCGAAAAATAAGGTACTTAATTGATCAAAATTGGATATGTAATCATGCACCACCTCTATTTTTATCAACTATGCTCTAAACAAAGCTCTATAAGAATGGTGTCAATTGAAATGCCCAATATCAATCAGTTCATGAAAAAAATGGGTTGAGATAGTCATTTGGTAAACCTAAATTTTATTCTGATGTAATTATCATACCTGTATTTTAACCTCATTCAAGCATGAAGCAAAGAAATTCTAGTAGAACACAAATTTATTTGTAAGAAATTTGTAAATTTTGATTGTTTAATGTGAATTATGAACTGAACCATGTGCCCTAGAAAGTTTTATTGCAGAACATTGGACCAACATAAAATCAACAATCTTAGAAGATGATTAATTTTTTAAGTGAGACCAATGATAACCAAAGTGAGTAGTCAAGCAGAAAAGTTTTACTATTAATGATCTCTATCATATGCACAAATTTGACACAAATGCAGAAGGCCATCAACTAAACAAATTCATTAATTAGAAAAAGGAATGTCTAAGTTGTTTGAATCCCTAATCAACAGATTAAAGAGACATTGCCATCACATATGTTGATCTAAAATCATTTTTCATC